CAGATGTTCGACAGACTCCTGTGCATCTTTACTCAGAAGTAAGGCCTTTGGAGTTTAATGGGGTTTGCAAGCTAATGTTTAGGATTGCCAATGAAGATGTAATGAAGAGCCAAGTTACACCTCAGAAAATCAAGTGGGACCACTTGATTGACCAAGTTGCAGCTTTGCTTTTGTCCTCTGGAAGTTCTAAAGATATAATCTGTGGACCTCTACAGTTAGATTCTATTCCTATGCCTAGAGTCAGATGGATTGGAGAGCTTCTAGAGTAGACCAGAGGTGAGGAGAGACAAGAATATTGGATTCCTAAGAAATGCAGTGGATTATCATTTCATCAGCAGCACTTCCCACCGCCCAACGGGCACAAGGTGGTGCTGTAATCCCATTGCAGGGTAGCTCAGTCTCTCTCTGTTCTATGTAAACAGGAGTAAAATGCATACCTCCATAGTAAAGCATTTGGGCATTTCACCCACAGTGATGCCATGCATCACATTAAAGGAAATAGAGATTTCCCTGCCCAAATAATTGTGCTTTTGCTTAGGCCAGGCACTTTTCATTTTGAATACTTCAGAACTCACTCCTTAGTTAGTTTTGAGTGCTCCCACTTAGGTTTGAATTATGCCCTATGTTCTTTTGCATGCATGTAACTGAGCATGGCTACATACATTTGTGTAGAGTGTGTGCAACACACACAGCACCATTTTGCTTGTACCTATTTGTGAATATCTTGTACACGTATCATTGTTGCCCCTGTATTTCTGCTAGCATTTTTGCAAATACCAAAACTGTACCCACCCTGTACCCACCTATGTATGTACACTCTTTGCAAACATAGTTCACCTTTACAACATGGGCAGTCCCTATATTCTATTTAAATGGTATTCAGTACTTGAGAGCAGGTCATTTTAAGATGATACATTATTTGGAAGTCTCTAGATCTAAAGTGCAGATGAGGAACATGTGTCCCTCCAAGTGTTGTTGGATTCTATCTATCTTTAGGCCCAACCATGTCCAATGGAAGGTGATGATGGGAACTGTAGTCCAATATCATCTGAAGAATCACAGGTGCAACCTGACCTAAACCAGGTATGGGCAAAAGGAAGATTTGATGTAGTTGTTTCAAAGTGCAGAGATACTGGGCCAGGGTTCTATATTATATATGCCAGAAACAGGAAGATTGTGGCCATCCAGATGTTGTTGGACTCCCATCAGCCCCAGCATGGCCAGTGCTCATGGATGATGGGAACTGCCATTCAACGCTATTTGGAAGATTGTAAGTTCATCACTCAAATATAGAAACAAAAGCTCATAAAAAACTCCTCATGGATACCAACAATTCTTGCCAAATAAAACAAAGTAATGAACAGCACCTGTCTCAATGCGTTCTCATCGAGATGGTAAACATGTATGTGGGCTGTGCCCTAACAGACTGCAGGTACGAGGAAATAACTGGATGTTCCATACAATGTGTGGCATAATGGTGAGAATGTTGAACTGGGACTTGGGAGAGCCAAAGTCCTCATTCAGCCATGAAATTCACAGGGTGCATTTGGGTCCATCACTGGCTCTCAGTCTAGCCTACTGCACAGGGCTGTTTGAGGATAAAATGGAAAAGAAGACTGCTTTGGATCCTTTGCAGGAAAAAGGTGGGACATAAATATATTCAATAAACTCCCTTTGTACATTTAAAAGAATATTAAATTTATTTAAAAGCCACTTGTTAGGAACATGCAGAAGCCAGTGCTAGATCTTGTCCTAACATGTCACTTCCCACATGTAACTTCAAGTGATACAGCTAACGTGACCAGATGTGAACAAGGAAAGGGCTTCTGTACCTATACCTCCCATTCAGGAGAGGGAATTTCAGCAGGTGTAGCTTGCATTTCAGGCTATACCTACTGAAGTTCTCTCTTCTTTACGACAGTTACAGATGTGGGAGCCTTGTATCCAGAGGCAGCCCAAAACATTTTGCTGCCTGAGGTGAAGAACAAGAGGGTGTCCCTCCCATTCCATGCACAGAAGCCGACTGGGCTGGCAGTGCGACAGTGTCACCCATCACAGGTGAGGTGGCAGGCTGGGTCAAGAGTGTAGGAAAGGCCCTTCTCTCTCCTCTGGCAACTTGCTGTCCCCTTCCAGCATCCACCTCACCCTGCCTCTGGTACAGCAAGTGCTACTTGTCTTCTTTTGCAACTGGCCACCTTAGGCACAGCCCAGACAGAAGTTTACTCTTGCTTGGAAAATAAAACTTTTGAGAACAGAGCTTCTACCAGTACTGTTGATTGCAGGAAAATTTCAGCTTGATAGTGCAATGGAAAAATAAGAGACTTCCATCTAATCATAGTTGATTTGGGGCCTTTTGATCATGGTCAAAATTGCTTCCCAAACTAGGAATATAACAAACAACTCTAGATCAAACCACTATTGAGAGAGATGATTCCCATTTTTGTGGTATATGAAGGATAAAACAAACTTTTACCAAAAACACAAAACAACAACAAAAACCCACCAAGACTTTCATTTACGTCAGTATATTGAACATCTATCTCCCGTTGTACAGGAAAAAATGACTATGCTGCTATTATGTACTTATTTCTATAAGGTCCATGACAAATTGTCTTCTATACACATGCCAATTTTGAACTCTAAGAATTTTCTCATATAAAACATTCCTTTTCTCCAATTATTTAGAGAGTCTCTCTGATTTCCATCTTCTTTCATTTGATGTACTCTACTTAATCCTGTGCTGAATTATAAGTTGTGGGGGGGGGGGGCATTCTTTTTCTTGAAGTGACATACTCAACTCACCTTTTCTTCTTCCCTCACTGTCCCCCATTAATATCTAGAACTTCTGCTATGCCACAGCACCATGCAGTTGCACTGTAGCTATCAATCACCAAGAGGAGCACAAGGGCAGTGCTAACATGTACAGAGGTACTTCTCAGTGAATGATCCATGTGTTATGATGCATGAGCTGAGCCCCAGTATGGGAACAAACAGCCTCTAGCATGACTTTGGTTCAAACACTCACAGGCACTGCTGCCCCCCCCCCCCACTTCCTTGCTCAGTCACTGCTATGAGTTTACATAACTCAGTATTCTTCTATTGCCTGCCTGCGGTGACCTCCTCCTCCTCACACAGAGTTGTTGGATCCCCTCACTGGCACACCCACAACCCCTGTTTGCTCCCTTACCACATGCACGCACACCCAGCCTTGCACACCCAGCACACGTGGCCCTTGCCAGGCTCAGTAGCTGCGCTGACATCTGGTTTCCATCAGAGGCCTCGGGCGTGTTGAGTTTCAGTGGTTTCTGTGCATTCGCAGTGCCAGGCAGCATCCAGGCCAGAGCTCCCCCTCCCCGCCCCGGTTTCTCTTTCCTTCCTGGATCGCAGCCCAGGACGGGACGGGACGGGACGGGACGGGACGAGCCCTCCTCCCTTGTTTCTTCTCAGTCAGGGCAGCCGCACAGCTCCTCCCCCAAGTCCTGGTTTATGACTCACTGGGAGCGAATAAATGCACAGGAAGGAGCCCAAGGAGGAGAAAGAGAGTCCCAGATGGGATCTAGCATATATTTCTGTGCGGCAAAGAGAAATACTGTATAGCCTATGCTCCCATCCTGTTCTTCTTCCCAGCATACCTGCACTGGACCCAGCCCCACCCACGCTCTGACCTCGCCCAGCCTTTTGACCCATCCCACCGCTCTGCATCTTCATCTTCATCTTCTCTCCCGCCCCGCCACCCCTGGGGCGTCCATCATCTCTCATCTCCTGACTCCCGTTGCCATGACAACGTGCCCTGGATGGTACAGCGACAGCTACAGCAAGGGGTGGGGATGGGGCGGGGATCTGTGGCGGGGAAAGGCCACTTGCAGCTTGAGAGAGAGTGGGATGTGGAGGCGAGAGGATGGGGAGTAGGGTGGGGAGTTGTTAGGCGCAAGTGTGGGTGCAAAAACTGATTTCCGCGTGCGCAACTAGTGTCTTGCTAATAAATAAACAAACAAACAAACGACTATTTCAAGGAGCATCGTTCCTCCTCTTTTTCCGCTAGGGGGCGCCTTGCGCATGGCAACGTAGACCAGGGCCGGAAAAGTGAGTGTGAGTCGTCGTAAGACGTGAAACTGGGAATTTATAAACTAGGGAGCAGACCCCTTTGCTTTCACCCAGCACTTTCCCGGTTTTCTTCACGAGATTCGGGGATGGCAGCTTCCAGGTCTCTTTTTCTTAGAACCCCTCATACACGTGTGCGAGCAGACAGACAGACAGACAGACAGACAGACAGAGGACGCTGGAGTTCCGGCAGAGAGAAAGAAAATTGGATCATTTATGATCATATAATCTTCTTCCCGTGAATAAGCCATCGCCTTGCACGCTCAGGCTGTTTGTTGACGTCTTATCCCTCTCAAGTGAAATTAGTTCCTTGTAAGCAAAAAGGCACACACATATTTATTTACAAAACAAATGGATGAGAGGCCCGTGTGTGTGTGTGTGCGCGCGCGTGCAAAGACGGGAAGGTTTATCTTGCACGCTTAGCCAGAGTGAGGGTGAATTTTCAGCCCGGTTGCCACTTGCACTCCCGAGATCCGCCAGTGTTCCCGCCTACTTCCTCCAGGCTCTGTACTTTAAAACACAACACAACCGATGAAGCCTATGCGGGAGTAAATGTCGTTTGCAACACACCCCGAGTCTTACAACCGGCCCCTGCTCAAGGGTCTCGATGAATGAGTTCCCGGGCAGTACCATTTCAGGGGCCGGGTGTGCAAGTACTTGCGCATGGCGAGTGTTCGGTGGGGAGGAGAGGCTCCTACCCTTTGCCAAAAAGGGGGCTGGGCATTTAAGCTAGGACTAACAAGGAGAAGAGAGAGAGTTTTAAGAACCGGGTAGAGAAAGGGAGGGAGTGTTACTTTCCCTACCCTCCTAATCTCTTGCCTCTCCCCCCCCCATGTCTCCAATGGTTCTGGCCGCGTTTAAAGGGCTCAGACCGATTGGGGCGGGAGCAGACGCCGAGCAACAGCGGCGGCTGGAGACGGAGCGAGGGGCGGCAGCGCAAAGCTAGGAGCGGCAGGTAGAGCCCGTATCCGTGCAAACTGCAAAGGGTTTGGGAGATCGGAGGTGATAGAAGAATGGAGAAATACGCCACACGCACCCCCATCACCTCCTCGATGCTAGGCAGGAGGGTTTTAATGCCACGAGAAATATTGTGGCTGCGTGTGAGGAAGAGCTGATGGTCTTGCTAGACAGGGCGGGGAGCCCGTGCCTGATTCTGTGCCAGAGTAGACAACCCATCTGTTTCCCCCTCCTTTGTGGATGCGGCTCTTGCAATGCTCCCCCCCCTTTTTTTTTAAAGCCTACCATTCTGGGAGGTTTTTGCCCCCCCCTTTTTTTTTCGTCTCTGGATTGGGAAAGAGGGCTTGTGTGCGGCCGTCACAGGAAGGAAATAGAGCCGGGGGGGACGTGGGGGGAGCGGCGAGGCGAACAGGTAATGTATGTGAGAACGCAAAGTGAGGGAAAATGTAGGATTTTGAGAGTGTATCAGTCTGGATGGCGAGCGGGGTGGGGGGGAGAGAATGTGCGCGCGATGAAATATCAACTCTTTCCTTCCTCCTTTCCCACAATGGCTTGGTTCCTTAACCCTCGAACAGGGGTGGGGAAGGCTGGCTAACGCCCATCATACTCCAGCTGGGGTTGATTTGTTGGTGGGGGGGTAGTAGATAACATACATCACCATGCTGCCCCTTCACCCTGCGGAATTTGTCAATTGGTACCTTTGTTTGTCTGTGTCTGGTGCTTTGCTTTTGTAAATTAAAAAAAAAAATGATATCCTCGTTCCTGGAACCCAAAATCTACCATTTCTCTTGGAGGAATTTCCAAACACCTTATCTTTATGGGAATGTGGCTTGTGCTGGAAGCCAGAATTCTTCATGCTATGCTGTTGTTATAGCTGTTTGGGGCTCAAGGGAGGGGGATCTAAGCATTTGGGGAGGAGGGGTCTTTGAGCTCTGGGAATTGGGTCAACTTGATTGATGCTGGTGTGTTCTGGAAAGGAGGGATTCTCGGTTCTCTCCTTACCTTGAATTTAATTTATTCCTCAGAATTTTTCCTTGTTTCATCTGTCCCTGTGATCACTATTTTGTGAGTCAAATTAGTTTGTTCCCATTTTGCAGGCTGGAAATACTGAGGGCAATCTCATCCTGGACGATCTGTGGCTGTGGTGCAGTTTTGAACTTGGATCTCAGCAGCCAGGGACAGTGTTGTGTTTGATGGACAACTCAGGAATGTGTGTGTAACAGGTTGGTCACTTTCTCTATTACCAGGAACATTTGTGTATCCCAGGCTATTTCCCTCCTGCATGCCACTCTCCCCAAGCCACTTGGGACCTTAACCCGTTGGGTGTTGTGGAGAATGGCCCTGCCTGCCATCCTGTTCAGGATTTCTGTTTTTCTTCCAGGCCTTTCTGGGAGGGGTCTGTTGATATCTCTTGTCCTCTTAGGAGCATTAAACAGATATAAAGGAAGTGGGATGCAGAGCATGGGGTTTTTTTCTATGAGGTGGTTGATGGGGAGGCTAGACTTTGGGGTGTTTTGGGGAGAATGAAATGATGACTCTGCCTTGTAAGGATGCATTCGGTGGTCGCTCTGAATGGGTGGATGTGAGGTTCCATTGAATAAAAAGCGGAGATCTGTGTATGGTGGCCAGCTTATATTTGCGTGAAGGGAAGAAGTTGACAGGCTTGTGCATGCCAGTGTCATCGTTTATCAGGCGTTACTGCGGGGCATCCTAGTGGGTGTGGAAGACTATTCAGTGCTTTGGTGTGGTGGAAAGGGACAGGAAGGCAGTGGAGAAAGATGTGTTAGTGCACTGAGAGAGCATGAGAGGGAGAATATTGTAGGGTTGGTGTTTGTTTCTATATTTGCTCTGGTTTAACTGTAGAGCGGAAGTGAGGTGGCTGAACAGCCCGTATTTTTAAAAACCTTTCCTCATTCTGCTTCCCAGGAACCATCAAACATTCTTTCTTGTTTTTAAATAAAGCCTGCAGCTCCATCTCTGTTGAATGTCCGAGCATGAGTCCCTTGCACCTCTGGACTAGAGATCTAGTTCGGCGTAGCTATGTAGAGCCAGAGTGGCATAGTGGTTAGGCTGCTGCACTGGCACGCTGGTGACCTGGGATCTAGTCCCCACTTGGCCATGACGAAGCTCCCTGGGTGACTTCGGGCCAGGCACTGACTCTCAGCCTAACCTACCCCACAGGGCTGTTGTTTTGAGGATAAAATGGAGACGGGAAGGACCACATAAGCTGCCTCAGGCTCTTTGAAGGAAAAGGCTAGGCATATGTGTCAGAAACAAAAAATAAATGGGGACTCTCGGGGGTTGAAGCTGGTCGGAGGGGCATGTGTGCAACTGCTCATCAGAAGAGACAATGCTCTGACTGAGTTCGCTCATTCATTCTGTGGCTGTCGCAAACTGGATAGGTGAGAGGGTCAAACACTGGGTGGGTGTTTGTGTGCACACATGCACACTGAATGTTAAGGCTTTACCTGTGTGATTTTAATAAGAAGTCCAGAAAGTAGATTTGGGGTTCTGTGTGTGTCTGCTTTGGTATTCTCCCCAGCTGCTCTGTTCACCTGGTGACCCTTCATGATAAAATCTGCAAGCACTTTACGCAGCTTTCTTCAAGTGATGGCCATGCAGAAGCCTTCCCCAATCTCATGCCCTCCAGCTGTTTTGAACTTCTGTGCCCATCAGCCCTAGTCAATGTGGCCAGTTAGGAGATGTAGTCCAAAAAATCCAAAACATCTGAAGGTTGGGGAAACCTGAATTAGGGCATTATGTCAACAGAATCATAACATTAAAATGTAAAATGTTGGTTTTATTTCTAAAAACATTATTTTCTTATGAGAAGCTGAGCACATATGACACCTTGAGTCACATTTGACAGGGCTTTCAGGAGGCAGAGAAATTGCTTTCATTAGCTGGTTCTGGCCTAGGGCTACCCCCCCCCCCCCCCGCTTTAGTACATACTTTAACCCTCAATGTGTACTTGCAATCAGTGGTGAAAGGATAAATGCCCCCTCCCCATTTTACCACTCCACATCTCCATTATTTACTAACGATCATTCTTTGCTTCTATACCACATCCATGGGCCTGAGGAAAGTATGTATTAATTTTCTTGAAGTTTAGAAGGTGTAACCTTGCAAATGCCGGCTGGGAAACAATAGCTTTCCAAATGTTTGTGGAGATCAATTTTGGGACTGTGGCATTGTTGTCTTGGGGAAAGGGGTGAAGAAAAGGAATGGTGTGGAACGCTTTTGAGTTATATGTGGTGTGCAGTGTGCAATAGCAGGCTGCATAGATAAGGGCTGATCTGCACTTGCATGTGCATTGCTTGACTTTGAATTATTTGGTTTTCTAGCTGAAAATGTGGTGAGCTTGGTAGAAAGACTTGTGTTTGTGGTGGGTATGAGTAGGTGGGATTTAACGTCCATTGGCTTTTTCACACATGCAAAATATTCCCTTGTTGATGGAGTCCTAAAGTGATGGGCATATTTGCATGAAACAGCCCTTCTGGCCCAATCTAAAAACGGGCAGCCTGAACTAACTTTCCATTCCAGCCCCTCAATGAAGCTGGGCTCTGAGCCCTCGTGTGTTCATGCCAGGGATCCGTTGCCCCGTGTGGCCACCGCATTGATATGCTAACATTGTACAGGTAGCACTTGAGGGCCCGGTTGCAATAAGTCTCCTGGGGATATACATTGTGTGCAGGAGTGCCTCTGCCTGTATGAACCCACCCAAGCATTATGTCAGCATCAGGGGAACTGTTTGCTGGCCCACCAGCAAGAGCCATTAAGCTAGAAGGTAGCAGGGCTTTCTCAGTGGTTGCCCCACGCTTTGGAACTCACTCTCCAAGGAGTTGCACCAGGGCTGGCTTTTAAAATAAAACTAGCCCTAAAAGACCCCTTTATTCCAATCTGCTTTTGGTGCTTAAAAATTGTGTTCTGTTCTATATGCATGTTCAATTGCAACATAAATGTTCACACTTCTGAAATATGAGGGCAACGCACCCAGGAAAGCAGGTTAAAAATCTATGAAAATGAAGAAATAAATAAACAAGCCATTATTACCGACTCATGTTCAGTGGGGCCTGCGGTTTTTGGATTGAGGCACCATTGTCATGAGGAATGCTTGGTAGATATTTGGGTGAGGGAGGAGCCTTGCATGTGAGAAGGAAGCAATGGCTTGCATGCGCCGTCTTTGCTCATTTTGTGTGGCAGGTGGCATTGCTGCTTTTGGCTTTTTTGAGTTGTTGCAGGTGTGTGCGTGCATGCAATGAGACACGGCTGTACCTTTGCTTCTCAGTCCTGCAGGTGTTGCTTCTTGCTGTTTGGTGGGTGCTAATGAGAAACTGGGAAGGCTGTTGGAAATGCAAAGTGAAAACGGGGGTCCTCCCAGGGGCTTTTTTAATGTGCTTATTTTTGGAGAAGCGTGACTTCTCATCTAGGGCATTGGTGGAAATGTTGCTCATTCAGAAATTTTTAGGTTCCACCAGGGCCAACATGGGGCCCATTGAGAGGACTGCCTGGACTTGCTCCTCAGCCGTTGCGAGCTGCCCATTCCCCTGCCTCAGCCTGTCAAGCAAGCAGAGAGGACTAGCAGGGGGATGAGGAGCAATGGCAGCGGGTAGCAGTGGCAATGAGCAGCTCCCTCCCGGAGGGACAGGCTCCATTAAGAGTGGCTCGCCGAGGGTCCCCCCAAAACCTTGCACTGCACGCAGCTTTGCAAGAATGTGGCCCTACAAGGGACCGTAATCATTATACCAGAAATTGCCTGTGCTGGATTTTCACAAGCTCAAGAAGCGCTGCGCAGACTGACTGTGCAGTTGTGTCCTCTGTATGCTTTCTGGACCTTGATAGGGATGACGCTCAACGCACTTATACCTAGGCTGGTAGTCTTGACTGTCTTTCCCTTGTTCTCTGCTGCAGAATTGCATTGCCTTCTTACCTTGTAATGCAAGGCTAGCCTGGTCGGTAATCACGCTCTCTCCCCCTTGCAGGCTGGATGAGCTGCCCGTGCCTGGCCCTGCCTGACCCCAGGCAACTCCCTGGAGATCATGTGGTGGCTGCTGCTTCCCGCCACCACCATGGCTGCTGTCCTGCTCTCCGCGCGGCCTCCTGTCTTGGGCATCCTGCCCACACGTGCTATCTTCACCACCTCTGACATGGCCCTCACGCACCTGGCTGTCCACCATGACACAGGCGAGGTCTACCTTGGGGCCATCAACCACATCTACAAACTTTCGGCCAACCTGACCCAGCTGCGGGTTCACACCACGGGCCCGGTGCCCGATGACCCCCGCTGCTACCCGCCTCCTGGAGTGCGGCTCTGTGCCCACCACCTGGCTCCTGCCAACAACATCAACAAGCTGCTGCTGATCGACTATGTGGGCGGTCGCCTCGTGGCCTGCGGCAGCGTTTGGCAAGGGGTGTGCCAGCTCCTGCGCCTGGACGACTTGGCAAAGCTGGGCGAGCCACACCAGCGCAAGGAGCACTACCTCTCTGGAGGGCGAGAGCCGGATGCCATGGTTGGTGTGATCGTGGAGCAGCAGAGGGAGCCCACCCAGTTCTTTGTGGGGACATCCATCGGGGGCCGCTCAGAGTACTTCCCTACCCTGTCCAGCCGCCGCTTGACCCCTGACGCTAACAGTCCTGAGATGTTCAGCCTCGTTTACCAGGATGAGTTTGTCTCCTCCCAAATCAAGGTCCCTTCGGACACGCTGTCGCTGTATCCAGCCTTCGATATCTACTACGTGTCAGCTTTCGTGTCTGGTGGTTTTGTCTATTTCCTCACCTTGCAACTTGATACCGCCCAGACACCCCTAGAGCCAGCAGGAGGACCAGTGGGCCCCGGTGCGCCTGGCGGTGAGCGCTTTTTTTCATCCAAGATCGTGCGTCTGTGCGCCAATGACACAGACTTCTACTCTTACGTGGAGTTCCCCCTGGGCTGCTCCAAGGATGGTGTGGAGTACCGCCTTGTGCAGGCCGCCCAGCTGGCCAAAGCAGGCCGGCAGCTGGCCCGGTCGCTGGGCATTGCTGAGGGACAGGACGTGCTCTACGCTGCCTTCTCCCAAGGCCAGAAAAACCGGGCCGCACCACCCCGGGAGAGCCTGCTCTGCCTTTTCACGCTGGAAGAGGTTAACCAACGCATCCGCGAGCGCATCCAGTCATGCTACCGTGGCGAAGGCCGCCTGTCACTTCCATGGCTTCTCAACAAAGAACTGCCCTGCATCAACACGGTACTTTGTGGTCAAGCAATCTTGGCTTTCTGTCCCCTCTCATTTCCTACCTGCTGGCTTCTGTTCCCCCTGGTAGGGACAGAGCCCACAAAGTCTTGGCATGTGAAGCCCTCCTGACCCTTTCCTCCATTCTCTTAATTCATTTGATCCTATTTTGTCCCAGAGCTGCAAACAAGACCTAGGAGCTCTTGTTTTGGCTCTTAGGGCACTGTGTTACTCTCTTTCCTTTGCAACTGGGACACAAATGCACAGTGGGATATATTGGGGGTGGTGCTGGTGTTAGAATATCCCTGCAAAAGAGGGCAGGGTCCCACAGGATGCTGACCCTTACATCCCCTTCTCTCCTTCCTTCCAGCCCATGCAAATCAATGGAAATTTCTGTGGGCTGGTGCTGAACCAGCCCCTAGGGGGACTGCAGGTCATCGAGGGGCGCCCCCTGCTGGAGGAGAAGATTGAGGGCATGGCCAGCGTTGCCGCCTATACCTATCACGGCCATTCAGTTGTCTTTATTGGAACCCGTGCTGGTAACCTCAAGAAGGTGAGAGGTACTCCTTGGGGGTGTTGGAAAGGACAAGGAGTTGGTGGGAGGGTGCAGGCTGTTGCTTAGGGGCTGCTTATATACAAGCGTTACAAGCTTTCCAGTTTATTCCATTATCTCCCCAGGTTGGGAATTAAATAGCCTTTGTGCTTCCTCTGTGGCTGGGGATGCATCAGCCTCTGATGTTCCAGGGTTGAGCAGAAGTGGTTTTTTGTGTGGGGGCAAAGTAGATTCATGGACTGGGAAGCTCTGACTCCTCTTTGTGAGTTATTAACTGAAAGCAAACCAAAAGCTTTTTCTTTGTTGAGAAGCTGAGTTTCTAGCCATGGTAGGCTGAAAACACCAGCATGGGGTGAGATGGCAAAAATTGGCCTCACATCTCCCCCAGTAAGCTCCACACGTGCCTACATATGCATCTGCTTTTCATGCCCACTTCATATGTTTCTCAGCAAAGGGAAACACACGGTCAGTACAGCAAGGCCCTGGCTCTCTCTGGAATGCACAGGTAGGACTGAGAGGGAAACCCCACGAAACCTTGGAAAGCTGGGCCACCCCCTGTCAACAAGTGTGAGCTAGACAGTCTAATGCTGAAACTTGGTATATTGTGACCTAATTTATGTCAAGGCTCTGAGAATTAACATTTCCTGAGAAGTGTCCCCTAGCAGGGATTTGCCTCCTCAGCATGGCCACCATTTTTCTAGGAAACACTTTCTATTACTATTGATTGTGTTCCTGTACTGCTCCTTAGCCAAAGCTCTCTGGGCAAGTCACAAAAGTCCAAACCACAAAATGCAACAAATAATATAAAATGTTTAAATGTTTAAAGCAGAAGAAAACCAAAGTTAAAAAGCAGAACAAGAGCCAGCAGCATGGTAAAAAGGTAAAGGTTTTCCCTTGACATTAAGTCCAGTCATGCCTGACTCTAGGGGGCGGTGCTCATCTCCGTTTCCTAGCCAAGGGAGCCAGCGTTTGTCCGCAGACAGTCTCTGTGGTCATGTGGCCAGCATGACTAAACACCGAAGTGCACGGAACGCTGTTCCCTGCCCTCCGAAGTGGTACCTTTTTATCTACTTGCATTTGCATGCTTTTGAACTGCAAGGTTGGCAGGAGCTGGGACAGAGTAGGAGAGCTCACCCCATTGTGCAGATTCGAACCAGCGACCTTTCGATCAACCAGCCCAGTGGCTCAGCCGTTTAAACCACTGCTCCACCTGCAGTTCCAGCAGCATGGTAGAGACCTAAAATACAACACCATGTTTAAAATACAAAACGTAAGTGCAGGACTAAAGAGCCTGAGAAAATAATTTTTTAAAAAGCTTCCATGTTTTTGGCACTAAATGAAACCCTCAGGTGAGGAGAGTATCTCATAACCTGGGTGCCACCACTGAAGAGAAAGTCCTCTCTTTACTAGCCAGTTGCTTCACCTCTTCACTAGGGTAATATATTACTCCTGGATCTTCATTTAGAGAAATAAAAGCACCTCTTCCTAAGTTTATGTGGCTACATCACCTTTTCCAGAACAAAAGGGCAAGTTTGTGTGTTTCATGTCAGCCGGAATTTCTAGAATAGCCAAGCTCAGGCACTGTAGAACATGTTATGAATCAGTGTCAGACTGTAAGATCAGCAGCTTCAGCAAGCCTCATTTTCTGGGGCTGCATTTTTCCTGCATATTTGGGCAATGCAACTGAGTGTCCCTTTCTGAGTGCCTTTCCCTCATTACTGATTTTCCATAGCAGAGGCTCCACACACCTGGGCTGGTGAAGGCAGGAAGAGTTTCCAGGAAATCTCAAGCTCTGGCCCATTTTTCTTCCCTAATGAGTATCAGACTTCTGTACTCGCATCCTCTGGTTGCCACGCTGAGCTGAGGCTTGGGCAGCAGAGGCCTAAGAGGATATATTTTATGCTTGGAACTGTATGCTCTGGAATTGGGCCATGCCCCATGGGAAGCAAGGCAGCTTCCAAGCTGCCTCAGCCCTCTGCCTGTTGCACTCGAGGGGAGGAGGGAGTCTGGAATGGGCACCCCCTTGTTGACACACTGGGGGCGGGCAGGCATTGCTAGTCCTCACCAGCGCTTCTGTCCCCACCGTCCCTGCCAACCATATGCAGCACTCAATATGCTAGGCCTAGGAATATTGAGCAGGGATGGGAGACCCGTTCTCTCTCCCATTCCACAGACATCTCTTAGCGTGTGCCCCAAGCATTGCCTGCTGAGAGGCGGGGGTGGGAGAGAAGTTGTGGTTCCTGGCAGCCCCCCACCGCAGCGCCATTAGTTCCCACTTCGCAGAGGCCTGTGCCCAACAGGCTCGTTGCATTAAATATTAACTGGGCCACCAGTGAGTTAGCGCACCTCTTTTCCGTCTAACTGGACAAGGGCTGGGGGGCAGCACTGTGACTGTGGGTCTGGAGGGCTGGTGTGAATCCAGATAGGCGGGCTGTAGCGGCTGAAGCCGAGGGTCATGAATAAGGTTGACTAGAGATGCCTATGCTCCAGGGTCTGGTTTTGTTTTGTTTTTTTAAAGGCCTCTTCCCAGACATATTTTGTTCTGAACTCAGCATTTTCGGACCTGATTTTGCTGCCTTTTGAAGTATACGAGTGACTGTGTATGTGTGTGTTATGGGGGGCGGGGGGGAGAAACTGCTTTGGAAGGTGAGACAGTGATAGATAGGTACTGTTGCTGCTGGGTGGGAAGGATATGCCCTAAAGCTGAGGTAGACATTATCCAAAAATCTCATATTTAGGGTTCAGTTAGTTTCCACCCCCAGGACTTACTTAGTATAAGATACTGCATTACTGGAGCACAGAGAGCAATAGAGCATCATGTCACATAGATGGAATGCTTTCCCCCTCATCCAAGTTTAGTTTGTGCACGATAACACGACTCTACGAATGCACAGGGTGCCATTTTGCCTAATCCAGCTCAGCCTGCCCTGAGGTGTGCCTGTGAGAGCCCCCTGTGCCTTCCACTTAGAAATTTAGCACTGGTTTCGCTGTTTGTCAGTCCTGGGTTCTAGTTAGCTTTTCCAGCAGTTTGAATTGCCATTTTTAAATATGCCCAGGTCGCACCCTTTGGAGGTGAGGCTCTTATGGGGGTACGTGTTTGGCCTCCTAACTAAAGCTGATTCTGGGGGGAAAGCAGCCCAGCTTTCTCTTTTCCTTCTCACCCCTGCCCCCGCCCCAAGTTGTGAAGTCAATTTTGAAGTGGAAAGCAAAGGAGTCCTCTTGGAGGCTGTGGCATCTGGTCCTTGGCTGATCATACAAAATTGAGTTAGAGCTCGCTCTGTGTGCACGGGGTGGAGGGGATTGAGCCATAGAAGAGAAATGCTGTTTAAACTCTTGAACCCCTGGCAGGGGGCATGAGGGGAGGTCACGACCCCCTTCTGTTCCTCCTGAAAACGGTGGAGATTCAATTAGGATGGCAGGAGGCAGGGTGGTAGCCCATCCGTCTGTCTTTTTGCCATTCGCAGATCTCCCTCTGCTGGCATTAGGGACACTAATTGCCTTGTTGCTGCATAGCCCGAAGCCTCACCCTTGGGGTGACCTGCCTGTTCCTCCTTGGTCGAGTCTGAAAAGGACCATTATCCTACTCCTTGGGGGGCAGGGAGAGGGACTTGTCTCTGAATCCCCAGCACTCCAACTGCACTGACCCCAACGGTCTGGTTGATGTGTGTGGGGCTTTGTTGGCCAGGAAGAAAGATCCTTTGTGCTTGCTCCTTTGGCCAAGTAATCGTGCGGGTGAGCCCATGTGTGTCCTTGGGACCTTTCCACCATAGGTACCTTTTTCAGCTATGGGAAGGACATGGAATGCCTTAGTTTTCCACCTTCGCCTGTGAAGATGTGATATTACTTAGGGGTGACTTCAGGCTCTGGAGTAATAGTTCCTCCCAGTCATCTGCCTTCTGTCTTAGGGAGAACAAGTCTCTCTCCAAACCACTCCCCTGGGACTTTTAATATGACTGTGAGGTATGCAGACAGGCAGAATCTTGAGGGTATGAAACCATAGGAAGTATCCAGTGAGGTGTTATCACTAACGTAAATGAATGTAAATTTCCCAGATGCCAGGAAAATGCTATAGGTGTGGCTTGCCTTAGTGCAACATCATTGACATTAATGTTGGTGTTGTATTGGATCTTGTCTTGTTGTATGCATCCAGGAGCAGGAGGATTACAACAAAAAAAATTAAAGTGCATATTTCAAGGAATGGTGTTTCCCGCCTGTCACATTTGTCCTCCATTTGCTGAAAGAGGACAACTGCCCAGCCTTCCCCAACCTGGTGCCCACCAGATTTATTTGGAAGGCCACTCCCATCATTCCCAGGAAGGACACCAGGTCGGGAAAAGCTAGCCTAGGAGCTGCTCCTCTTACCTTCTGCTTCCCTGGCTCCTCCTCTGCAATGGGGGGGGGGGGGAGTGCTTCTTGCAATCAAAGAAACATATACTCTAAACTGCCCCCATGTTTTTTTTAAACTAGGAGCAGACCTTTGTTTTTGATGCTTGCCTCTGTTAAATCAATGCTTGGCCTTTCTGGAGATGCCTGGTTAAAATGCTGCAAATAGGTGTTCAAGTCTGTCAGATTTCAGCCCTCTACCCAAGGTGTCCAGAACTTGAATAAGACTCACCTTGCTCTTTGCTGTGAGCAGTATGTGCATGTGGACACTCAAAGCCAGCAAGCTGCTATTCTGCCTCTTACACCCTAAAACTGCCTCTTCAGTTCCTGAATGTTGCTGAAAGTGATTAGGTTATAGCTATTCCATCATGAGGTGGACTGGTTCTCTTGCATGACTGCACTTTATTCTGAGCTGGAGATAAGAGAGACTGCCATGTTCCCGTTATTAAGTCAGGCCTAAGTCTATTTATGTAGGCTAGTTCTAGATGACTTTTCAGTTTGGCTGGACTCCAAAAGTTGGGTAGCCATTAATGCATGCCCTCTTTTTTTTTTTTTTTTTTTTTTGATGATCCATCACTCCCCAGAAAGGGTGAAAGTTGGTGCCAGTTTGCATAAAA